CCCCCCCCCCCTCTCTTCTTAATTTCTTCACTCATCTTTCATTTCTCAAACTCATATTCTCAATTATCATTCTCTCATTCTTTACCTAAAGTGCAATCAACTATTTGGCTCTCAGTTTTTTTGGAATTTAATTTATCGTATTATTTATTATTTGAAGTTTGAACAATTGAACTTCAAACTTGGAACAATTGACGTTTCTTCGTGGTAACATTGGAGTTGCGAAATCATCAAGTGTTCAATTTATTTCCGAATTCGGTGCACTCCGTCCAACTCTTTCTCTTATTTACTATTTTATTTGCATATTTAATTTTTGATAGTAGTTAAATTTTCACAATATGTTTAATGCTGCAAAAAGAGTTTGTAATAAGGTTACTAATCGGGGTAAACGGGGAAATAGAAAAGAGGTACTACTTCTACATCTGGTAGTAATTTAAATGACTCTACATATGTTTCTGAAACATTACCTGATAATAATATAGATTATGAACAATTACATGAAGATTTCGGTATAGAAGATAATGAATTAGAAATTGAAGATGAGACACCACTTACACCTAGTAGTGTTGGAGTTGGTAACAGGGTTGGTGGTCCTGGTGCTAGTAGTAGATCACCTGTGGCCCCAACTACTAATCGGAGAAAAAGAAGTAAGGTTCGGAAATTTTTTGACGAAATAGAGAATATTGACAGAATTAGATGCAGACTTTGTAAAGATGAATTTTAAACATAAGACTGAAGGACAATTAGGGAAAAGCAGATTTGCTGGGAATAACAACAGGTTGTATAACTAATCACATTAACTTTCACAGTATAGTTGGTAAGAAATCAGAAGTGTAGCAACTTCGATAATCTACATAATTTTATGACATTGGACGTGGCTTCTTCAACTTGCACACTTTACTTAACATGCTTGCAGGATTTTCATGAGATAACCGGGATAAAACATAAGAGAATACTCGACATAGGACAACCCAACATGGAATACAAACTAATATATGTAACATACGGGCCTATAGGACCGAAATGATCATTTGTGCACTCAAAAAGTATTTTTTCGAATTTGCAACTTCAATTTCGATTAAACCACCCCCAAATCTAATCCAAATGATCTCAAATTTAAAACAAAGCTTCCAAATACTAACACAAACAATCTCCAACACTAATTTAGTTGAATAACACCAAATCAGAAAGACTCACTTTGTCTTCTTAGGTCCATCAATGGAGTTTTTAGATTTTTACACTAAATTACCAAAATCTGTGTTTGTACTAAAAGTTAAGTTCTATCTGTGTTTGCACAAATTATCAACATTCAAAAGATTTTAACAATAATTAATTATTAACTTTTATTTTTCACCACCAAATAAGAATTTCAAGCTCTAAAAATTAAAGAACTATGGTGTTCAAGTAAAAAAAATTGAATATTTTGCTAAGACAGTAAAAAATAGGGATATTCCGCCAAAACCACCCCTTTGCGACTCACACCGTGCTAATTTCACTAGAAATATACTTGTGAATCTCTGGTCTTTCACAAGTGTTTGACAGTCGATTCACGTAGTTCCTTTCACTTGATACATTTTACTCTCCTGTTTTGTGATACAGGAAACTAGAGGTAAAAGCCTAAACTAGAGTGTACTAAATCGTATTGCAGTTATATGTAATGGGCCAAAAGCACTGTAAATGGAAGAGAGTGCTGGACAAACTGAACTACTTTTCATGCTAATGATAGACTAAGCTCAAAGGAAATCTGATGTCTTTAGCTATTAGTTATAAAAGGTTTCTTAATTGTTTAGTTTGGGTTACTTTTGTATCTTCTAGTCCTAGAGTCTAAAGGACTAGTCTGTGTATAACGCTTATTTGGTTAAATAAATATTTTCATTTGACCAAATAAATATATATTCACAGTCCTTTCAACTCTATAATGAGCTCATGATCTGGAAAAGAAAAATAGAACGGTTTAAATCTTGACCAGAAATCAGCGCCACTTATGTCCTTGGTGTTGCTGCCCTGACCTTTTTCCAGAGACCAAATAAGACTGGTAACCTAATGATGACAGCAAGAATACTACTCAGAAAAATACACAAAAACAACTCGCTCACCTGCTTCCCAAGGTTGAATAGGATGTATTTGTATCTGATCATTCGTCTAATTAGGGAATCCATGGTACTGACAAAATGGAGAATCCAGATGAACAACAAGAAAGGCCAGTACGTAGGAACATCGAATAGGGAAAAGAAAGTTATGATAAATGCGATACAGAGAGCCTTTGTTATGGCATACCTGAAGAAATCAGAAAAACGAGTAGACATTAGCAATACCCAAGTGTCATAAGAAAGTATTAAATTACCTGAAATAGAAGCATCATCTGAACCATTCCACATGCTATGTCCACTATGGAATGCAAAACAGCAATTCCCGCCAAGTAGCAAAAGAAACCAAAGTATCTTGCTAAAAAATAGAATTCATACTTCTGAGTCAGCTCTCAAATATTTAATAATTGAAAGAAAAAATGTGTTCCTATATGTTTAATCCTATGAAAAAGAGACAAAACCAGTAGATAATAAGGCAATCTGAAGATCCATTTTGTTATACAGGATCGGAGATCTTAAATGTGATCTTCCTCTCGCCAAATTTATCTTTGCCTCACATAGAAGATAAAAAATGATTCACCTCCTCTCAATTCATATGGTTAATGAGCAAAACTTCATCCTGCTACAAGGTGTAGATACACATTATGCAAAAACCGTGCAATATTCACTTTATCCTAATATAGGTAGTTTCCACAAGACCACGAATATAGCCTCGTGTCCACCAACTCGTTACTATCAGCACAATATCAAGAATTTGTCTTCCACCAAGAAAAGCATTCGTTTGAGTGTAATGAAAGATTATCCATCACAGATAGAGATCTACTTGCCAGCATGTTTCCAATAATTCTGTAAACACTTACCAATGAACCTGCACTATAGTATATATTTGGTTCCATTTTCTTCAAAACGGGTACAATAAAAGGAAAAGTTAAGATTCTATTCCAATGATTGATTTACACATTCCATTATATATTTGGCGCACAGCTTGCAAGCAATGTAAAACAGCAATAATGTGACCATAATGTCACCTAACTGATACAAGGGTGATGTTGACTTACACCAGGTAGCAGTCAAAAACACCTGAATGAATAAACTATGATTAAAAAGAGTTCTAGAATATCAACTCAGAAAGATAAAATAAAGAAAAACTATGACAACCTTTTCTCCGCTTAAGTAGAAACGAAACCAAAAGCGTACAGCAGGAACTATTACCAGAATTTAAACTCCGGAAGGCGACTAATGAGAGGCTTGAACTCATCTGAAGCTTTAGTAGGCAATAGAGGTCCATCAGAAGGTTCCATCTGAGGATCAACAAGAGGCGACAGGAAACCAACCAGCAAATAGACTATGTAAAAGCCCAAAAAATATGTAACAAAGTAGAATCCATGAACAGAATAAATACGAAGAGCATAAAGGAGTGCCATAATTACAGTGGTTCCAATCCACCTATAGAGTACATGGGGAGTCGTTTTATCTAAGTAATACTGGAAGCTCTTTGCAGGTTTAATGTTCAAAGCTGCAGCCGCTGATGCACCATCATCTCCAACACCCTCCATAAAACCACAACTTGAAAATCCTTGAAATACATAGGGATAAGATCAACGAGGGCAAGATATCACGCTACAAGCAACTAGATATACATTTCGTGGACTCATTGCCAAAGGGAGAAATAAACGAGTTTAGAGACTCAATTTTATTGCTGCTAAGAACAAAGAGGAACTTAATTTATAAAACTTAAAGCTCATATCGCTCACTGTCATGGGCACTCATAATACAAAGAATGACAGTCCGCACTCTCCAAGAAGATTACATTTCTGATTTATTTCTAATGAAATAGATCAAGAGATGCACATAGTCAATTCATTAAACTAAACAACAAGAGCTAAAAAATCAAGCAACACCTAAACTTGCCGTGTGGTCAAAGGCTCAAAACCAACAACCTAAAGCAGTAGACTTCAAACAATCTAAGCAGCCCCAATGACACATCTCTCCAATTTACATCATCGAAACAACATTGACGGGTCCTATTTGCTCATAGTAATTCTATAGAATTCTCAGGGTTTTCAATCAACAATCAATTCGCATGATGAACAAAAGTAACCGATCCTGAATTTTAATTTCACAATCGATTCTCAAAGCATACATACAGAATATAAACAGTTAAGAAAGGAAAAGAAGCATACATACGGAATCTTCAAAAAGGAATAGAATCAAACCTTGATGCTGAGAAAAACACAGAACCCTTTTGAATTTGAATGTAGCTCTCCCTGTCCGGCGCGCAAAATGCAAATCATATATATATATATATATATATATATATATATATATATATATATATATATATATTAAAAGCACGAAGGCACTCAGCGAAATGTCGTTCGTCTTTTTTACCCTTAGAAAATAGAATTCACACTAGACAAAATAGTTATTTAATTATTTTTCTTATAACTAGGAATATGAAATCAAATAAAATTTTAGCTGTTAAATATCTTCTTATTTTAACCATGTAAGAATCTAATCCGCATGCACGTACATTGGTTCCTAACTTTCTTTATTATCATTTCCTTATATTCTGCACGTACCCTAAATAAAAACAAGGGCGGATCTAGTATTTTTATAACATGGGTGCACCACTAAAAAAGGAGAAAAAAGAAAGTATTAAGTGGGATTTGATCCCTAGTCCTCTAGGTAAATAACTCATCATTCAACCAAGTGCACCATTTAGCCTCCTTGGAACATGGGTGCCAGCAGAGAATACTAGACCAATTCCAAAAAAAATGTACATAAACTATCTAGTTTGTCGGAAAGACCATGGGTTCACGTGCCCCGTCAATTTGCCTATAAATCCGCCCCTGGAAACAAGCTATATAAAGGAAAATTGTTTTTGAGGGACTCATTGTGTCAATGGTATTTGATGGAGTTAGCATCGGTTTATAACGTATATGATCTTGTGTGCATCTCGACGAGTGAACCCAAGGTAATTTACTAGAATTTTTTTTTTTTTTTGTATGATGATCCATGTAGTATTCACTATTTGGGGACGGGAAATTACTTTCGTTCAACAAATAGGGTACTAAACATGTTGTTTGCATATTTTTGTTATCCATCTTATGAAAATTCTTCTTTAATTGCTCTACGCCTTTTACTTGCTTGTTGTTGCAAACGACGGGTCTTTTGGTTGCTTGGCAATGCTCCAGTCGAATTCACACACCTAAGATCAAGATAAGGACTTGCAAATTAACTTTACTTGATTTCCTACCTATCCTGCAGTTTTATTTTGTTTATCGATACCAAAATAAAGTTGTAATCTGCAATATTTTTTTATTTAGGTTTCAAATCTGTAAAGTCGGGCTTTATATGTATATTACAATTAATTTCTCTTGCTTTACAAATATTTCTTTAGATTGATTCTCAATACTTGTCTATTCTTTTGTTGCGGTGACATTACTTCAGGTATGATTATCCACTAATTATTTTTATATCCATTTTTTTCTAGACATTATAATGCTGTTTTGTTTTTTCTTTTACAAAATCTCTAATTAATTGAGAAATAATATTTCTGCCATGTGCCAAATTATGGGTTTGCTTAGAGTTTTCATTAGTTAAGTAAATTAAAATTCGTACATATAAATATCACAATAGGATCTCATCTGTTTCCCTTGGGAACGGTTTATGTTAATCTTTTTAGGCCAAACTTCTATTGTAGTTTTTTTTTTTCAAGAAATATTTTGGATTGTACTCCTTGATTTTAATTTTTATCTATAAATAAACCACTATTCAGAAGCTCAATTATATCTTTACTTGAATCGCACAATTTCTTCAACTTTTGAATATTTGTAAAGTATTATAGAATTATATCTTTCGTTTCTTGTTAAATAAGTATATTTGTTGATGAGTGATAAATTTGGTATAATTTGTTACGTAGTAAATTCGAACGAGGGTGAGGCGATATTGATGCACATGAACTTACTTACAACAACATGTAGTTTCTAATACGGTAATCTTTTTTTTCCGATTACTAACAGAAACTGAGATCACTTTAGAACGACCTTCTTTTTGACATGTATATTGATGACTTGACATCTATATAAACTAAAGGGAAAATGCATGAGTACCCCCTAACCTATAACCAAAGTTCCAACTATACACTTTTTCTTTATTGGATTCCTAATACCCCCTAAATTTTTTCTTACCTTAATTATTTGGACCTTTTGGGCTGAGTTGAGTACCCCAGTAAAATTACATGCGATGTAGACACATGCATCATTTTTATAAAAATAATGGGCCCCCCGGTTCCATCAAAAAGAAAACATCAGACCAAAAAATTTCTCCCATTCTTCACGCTCCTCTTCCCTCTTCGATCATTAACGAAATCAGTCAGACCTAAAAAAATTCTTTGTTCTCTTGCAATTGGATACTAATAGACTAAAACAAGTATAAAGCCCCTATATTAATGGTTCGATTCAAGGTCAGATTGATAGTCTTCTGGAATTCCGATCTAACCAAGAAGTTTGCATTTGTAGTAAAATACCATATTTACATCGCACATCGGCATTGAGCATTGGATCATCTTTGTCCATGCATAATTTATTCAACTTGGTATTTGTAATTACTAACCCTAAGATTTCATACACAAAAATTGGGAAGAAATTAAAAAACCCTTAACATAAAAACGACATCAAAGGGAGGAATTTACACAAAAATTCACTTACCTCTTCAAACCAAAGAAAATTTGAAGACAAAATCCAGCTTCAAAAGTCTTGAAAATGGCCGGTAAAATGGGAAAAAAAGAACATTTTATGTTTTGAAGAAGAGCTCTTCCAAATCAGCTTTGAGAATGACACATGGCCATTTCGTATAGGCTAAAGCCTAAATGACACGTGGCCATTTCGTATAAGCTAAAGCCTAAATGACACGTGGCCATTTCGTATAGGCTAAAGCCATTTTCTTTAATTTACTACGCGCTTGAGGGCGGTGTTTTCACGTACCAGTCCAACTCAGCACATAAGATCCAGATAATTAAGGTAAAAAAAAATTAGGGGGTTCTAGGAATCCTGCAAAGGAAAAATGTGTAGTTGGAACTTTGGTTATAGTTTGGAGGATACTTATACAGTTTTCCTAAACTAAACACAATAATTATCTTATTTTAATTGGCATTAATCATAAATATAATCCTATTGCTAGAATGACATACAAGCGAGGATGCTTGATAAATTATAAATTCTTTATAGGGAAATTTTCGTATATATACCATATAGGAAACTATATTACCAAATATGTTCATAGTTTGCATATTACCATTCATGCTAATAGTATTCCTACATAATATATACAATGCATTAAATAAGGAATCATTGTAGCTGTAGGATTCCTTATTTAAGCGCACAGAAATTGGGAATTAAATATTCTTCAGATCTTCCACAACGCAAATCACGCACATTCATAATTATCGTCGGCTTCGTTTCAAATTTTCCATACTCTGTTTTTGCGATACACTCTGTTTCCAGAATTCTCTCTACATCTCTCTCTATCTCTCAATCCCAAATTTTCAGTAATACAAAGCAAAGGAAAAGAGAGCAGCAATTCCACCATTGACAGCCATTAAAAAGCTTTGAAGTTTTGAATTCAAATTTGGGTTTTTAAAAATCATTATTTGTTTGGATTGGGTGTTGTTTAAAATAATTGGGAATATGGTTTGGAGTTTATATCTTAATTTTGAGGGGTTTTGGTGAAGATTAGACTTGGTTTTGACTGAATTTCAGATTGAAACTCGAAGAAGAAGAAGAAGAAGAAGAAGAAGAAGAAGAAGAACATGACATACATTATATTGCAGAAATTGTAGAAAAATTGTAGACTGTTGTTTATTTATTTTTCTTTTATTTATTTACCTATTGTATAAAAGTTGAACAACATTGTATAATAATTGTATTTAAGTGGATGATTTAGTACTATTTTGAAAAAAAATATGTATCAAAAATGTGAAACATACATTTCAGGGGAAGCATGTCGAGTTCAAATATGTACCCAGTTTGTAGATATTTTGTAGATAAATTATAGATTATTTGTATTCTGATTGTAGATGCTTTATTTTCTGTTTTCACAAATAAAAAACGACTAAAACTTCTACAAATCTTCTGAAAAATGCAATTATGTCAAAAATCCTAATTATGCTACAATTGAATGGGAATTGGGATATTAAAATTCAATGTACCCAGTTTGTAGATATTTTGTAGATAAATTATAGATTATATGTATTCTGATTGTAGATGCTTTATTTTCTATTTTCACAAATCAAAAACGACTAAAACTTCTACAAATCTTCTGCAAAAAATGCAATTATGTCGAAAATCCCGATTATGCTACAATTCTGTGATTCTGCTATATTCTCTTGTTACTCCTTACGAAACTGCTATGCTAAATATGGAATCCAAAAAAACATGATGAAGGGATAGATCTTCCTAAGAAATTTTGTGGATAACACAAAAACACAAAGCTCAAAAATAAATAAATAACAGTCTACAATTTTTCTACAATTTATCTACAATTTCTGCAATATAATGTATGTCATGTC